GAACTACGAAAAGGAATAGGGAGAAAAACAATTAAAATTTCGTCCTTGTTTGAGCTGTATAATCTAGAAATTCATTTTTTCGAACTCATTTTTATCTATACGTTCTTCCAATAAAATAATTTGTATGTAAATCTAAAATTTTTCTCATTTTTCATTTACATATTTTTCAAAAAGTCATTATTAAATAATAATAATAATAATAATAATAATCATAATAATAATAAACTCAAACAGGTCTTAAAGGTGTGCATTGCTCATTTTTAACTTTTGCTCTGAATTTTTTTTTTGTGATTGGTGCCTTTGTTTGATTCCTTCCATATTTTTTTTCAAAGAAAAGGTTAAGAAGGCAAGAATAAGAAGAAAAGAAGCCAGGGATAGGGATCAAGGGAAAGTAAAAGACAGAACAACTAAAGGAAAGATTGCCTTGGAATCTCCAACTACTCAAGATTTGAAACGCGGCATTGGCCTGTGGTCAACAGCTATCTTTTGCCCTTTTATAGGAATAATGGTATTTAACTTCATTGGGATCATTCACGTGGCGTTAACGTGACATTAAAAACTTCATTTAGCCTATCACATAATACCACATACACTGTGATTATAACCCCGGTAGGGCTAAATATCATTATTCTTTTTTTAGTGTGTCAAGTTAAAAAATGATTTTGACATGATATAAATAAATTTGATCTGAATACAAATTATTAGGCGTGGCCACTTCAATGCTTTCATTTGTAAAATTGATGGATTTAGACCCACAATGGTAAATTAAGTGATCCACTTGAAACTTAGAGCCTGTTTGGTATCGATTAAAATTCAATTAAAATTGAAAATATAACCGTTATCGGGTCCCACTCGTCAATAAAAGTCAACAATAACGGTTAATTTTTCAATTTTAATCCGATTTTAATCTCTACCAAACGGGCTCTTAGAGTCCGTTTGAGTGTAATGGTGGAAAATTGATGGAAAGAAAATGAATTTTAAGGAAAGTAATTGTTAAGAAATTGTTTTGCAGAGAATTATTAATTTAGTGTGTTTGATTGGTATAATTTTCCACCCGAAAATTTTTTAAATTTTTTGTTCGTTTGGTTTCATTTTACATGGAAATTGTCCATTAAAGTGATAATTTTTTCCACAATTGTTTATAAAATTTGTTTCCATTGCCAAAAATAAAAAAAAACGAAAAAAAATTCCTAAAAAAATTATTTTTTAATCAAAGTTTAGTATTCGTTTGATTTTGTTTTACATGAAAATTATCCATTAAAGTGATTTTTTTTTTACAGCTAGTTATGAAATTTGTTTTCATTGACAAAAAAAAAAAAAAAACATGGAAAACAATT